GTGGAGCAGCGGGACGTGTGGGACCCTATCAAATGCTTTTGAGAGGTCGAAAAATATGGCATCCGACATAGATAGATTTGTCAACCACTACAGTCACTCATTCCGTCAACATAGGGTTCATGAGCCATAAGGCACACATTTCAGGAGGACACATTATTTGACCATCTTCAACTGGGACCAGTTTCGCTGAAAGAGACACAGGGCCGTTGTCTATAAAATTAAAAAAGTTCACGCTTCTTCAAAGGATTCGTTGTGCAGGAGAATGAACTAAAATCCATCCAAAAGCAATCAGCAACTTCTGAAAATGAGGTTCTAAGTACTCTTTGAAAATTTAACTTCAGGAGACGCAGAAGATTAGCTTTCATTTCGTAGAACCCGGCACTGCTTTAAATCAGAAACCGGTCAATCGCCATGAGAAAACACGCCACAAAACTGAATCCTGACCGAAAAATCAAAATTTACTATTTAGTCACATGGGATATCGCCGAAGAATCATGCCAACAACATCCTTCCTGAGGGACATAAATGGGAAACCCGTGAGTGACCAAGTAGTGGTATCCGAAGCTTACGCAGAAGCCTATACGGGCCTCTATCCCGCTACAACTACCTCATCGCATCCAATCCTGTAACCGACCTAATCTTCACGAAGGGGAAGTTTCATCCTCTGTAAAACACGGATCCTTTCAGTGCGTTGGGCCGGACCAGGTCCATCCAGAGTTCCAGAATGAAATTTTTGCTCAAATTAGCGAGGCAGTACTCCCTGCATTTTCGACATTCGCTCGCCGAAAGCAAGCTTTCCCTTCAACTGAAAGTAAGCAATCGTTACGCCAACCTAAAAATATGGATTACGGCGTTCCTATAAGATAGAACATCCCGATGGACAGTAGACTCGACCTACTCTTCTTTGATACTGGTCTCCGTTGGGGCTCATCAAGACTGCGTTCTGGGATCAACTGCGCCGAATACTCTCGGGATGCTCTTTCAAGTCTTTTTCTACTTTTTTCGGATGACATAAAACGCTCAAATGTTAAAGCCGGCGCCACTGAAATGGATGTAGACGCGGCAAAAAGTAATCACCGGCCAGCCACCTTCCACCAAAAGACCAAAAGCACAACTGTATCTGATTTAGAGACTCAACGATTGCCCTTGTCGTGCATGGTGAGAATGGGACGGAAGATGCTGCTCTGTTCAAACATGTCTTTCTCATTTCACCATGAAAAATTGCCTAATAAGGCATCCATCGTTCTATGGATGAACGCACCTTCACCCGCAATTCCCGCATGGGGTTTCAGGCACCGTCAGATCGCCCCAACAAAATTTTCTACTCAGAATAAAAGCAATTCGTGACCCCAATATAACATGTCAAGGGGGCTGCTGCAAAGATGTTTGCTGGGGTTTTTTGCCACGTAGGAGACCTAGTACTCACTTATGCCGTCTAAACAAGCTTTAAATGACAGGTTTGCCACCGCTGACTCATCACCCACCGAGGACCTGGTGAAGAGATTTTCAAGCTCGGTGCGCACTTTATTATTGGGCAACAATTCTTGATATTTCGGTTAGTTGGTGCGTACAATAACCTTCTTTGTACGTTTGTTCACACTGCATCTGACGCTTAGTTCAAGCGCCTTTAGATGCCTCTTTTTAAGATTCCATGATCTCTCAGGGTACCTCCTCATTTTCGCGTTTGCCTTTAAAGTGACCGGTAGCATCTTAACAACAGAAAATCCGACATGCGAGGCTCGCGTGAAAGCCTCGCCCCGTGTATCAATCCGTGAATCCGAGAAGTTACACGTTTCATGTGTGAAGTGAGAACCAAACTCTAGGGTAAAATTCAACATATTGCTTGATTTTATGCCTCTCGATATAGCTGTCCTCCCCATAATCGACACCTGTAAATGAACACTACGGGAATCCTCTAAACCCACACGCATTCGATGTTGATAAACAAGCCATGAAGCGAACAAAAAGGAGGTAGTCTCACCAAACAGCCGAGGATTCCATTAATTCAAACAGGGTTTTATCCTGGAATCACACAGATTCGCATGTGCGTTCCTCACGCGTAACCGGTAATTTACGGAGAT